GAGTCGACTTGGTTAAATCGAGAAACAAGGGAAGAAGCGAAGTGAACAGAGGCGAGAAAAAAACAACAGATATAAGAAAACAACAGATATAAGAAAACGTAAAAACGAGAAGGGAAATATACGAAAGTATAATAAATATTATATTTACGAAATATAATTACGAAATATAAGCGAATTAACTGTATTCGATTACTCTTTACGAAATGTACATATAGAAGTAGCAACAGGTTTAAACTGATTCGTTAAGACAGTTTTAATGCATCCTTTCGGCACATTCGGTAAACGTGACCTAAACTGCGCTTGATACTCCATCGTTCGACACTTTCAGTGCCAAACATACTCATGGAAGTACTAAGTCCTTAAATCCCTGTAAGCCATATACGGCTGACGCGGCGTTCAACGTATTAATCTTTATAAATTGCGTCGTCTTATCCGAGTAAAATTGTCTACCTCCTGCTCTCAAACGTGAAATAAACAAACGGAAGGCAAACGGTCCAAGCGAATTTCCGAGAATGCTCAGAGTCCCTGTGACCCCCGCGCACGATGTTTATAAGTTAACGCGATCAAGCATCGAGCCTCTTTGTTTTCCTTCCAGTCTACGCTATGTGAAGAGATACGTTACGTTATTCTTTTCTACGTGACCTATGACGATTTATATATTACACTGTAACGCTTATTTCTATCGGGTGTTTCAAAAATTTGGTTCACGTTTCACCGTAGTTGAAAACAATTCTCAATGAGGATTCCCGGACAAGACGTGTGCGAAAGTGATTCAAGGAGAACTAGTTTCCCTTAAAAATGTCGCGGAGTCGTCCTTTTTCGTAAGATATAGAAGGCAAGGATACAATTTTTCGAATTATATATATCGTCGGTCAAAGGTGACCGACGCGGCCCGAACGGAAACCGTGTCGTCGGTCACCGGTGACCGATGCGGCGCTTGACGTGTTCAATTGACTATTAACGCACGCGTGTATCGGTGCCGATTCTCGCGGCGTGCTTTCGACCTGTTGCCGTCTGGTATTTCCACGCGTCAACGTTTTCCTCGTTCGGTCGGTATACCCAATACTCCGAACACCCGCTTACCTTATAGTGAATGAGGTCGACGGTGATAAATATTGAGTAACAACGCATGTATTATATATGTATTACGCGGACATACGATACCTTTGCCAAACGATAAAGAAACGAACACCTAGACGCACTGTTCGAAAATTGTATAATGGAATTTATATATTCCGAGAGAATCATCGTGTCTAAGGTGGCAGCCTGTAGGGTCGTTGGATTAAGACATACGGAAGAGTCTAAGAGGTTAGAAGCACCCCTGTCGATTGACAATAATTTTCCAATTTATCGCGATCACGTTGATTCCGACAAAAACAAAATACACTGGTCGCCATTAACCTTTCACTCGTTACGAATAAATATCCGAATAACCGACGCACGAACCAAGGGTAGATACTAAATCGCTACGTGCAATTTCTATTCGCGTATAATCCGACAAAAGTCACCTAACTCTGCTTTAGAAACGACTAGAAGCACTAGAGATTTCCAGCAGGGAGATCCCGAATAGGATAAATAGAAAACACTTACGTGTTAACGGTTCGATCCCTCGTTCAGACGACGATCTTGTTCCTCTTCTCTGGTTTCGATCTGTTTCACGCTGCACCTTCGATACTTCTACCCTTTTCCGACAGGTTATACAGTATTCTGGCAGGCGCACGCGATCCGACGTTGACAACAAACGGTTCGCTCTCTTCCGTCCGCGTAACGAGGAGGAAGCACACTCGATTTCTATCGAACGTCGTTTCAAGATCGAGCCCGTGACACGCGAAAAAAAAAACACGACCACGAGCCTTAAACCGCGAGAACTGGTACACAACGTCGACGTTGGATGGACGAGAAGTGTCGCAACCGTGGAGAAAAAAAGCCGAGATTACAGCTACATCCGAACTGTTCGGGGGTTCGGAGACAACTGAGCCTACCGGCGGACTTTGGAATCGGTGAGCGGTTCGTGTTCGTCGACTCAACTTCTCCGAGTTCGAGTTCGAGTCGTGTCGTGATCGTTGTTTTCTCTGTCTCCTCGATATACACGGTACACCAAGTGCACGGTACACGCGCGTTCTACCTTCGCGAACGAGCTCGCTTCTGTTCCTCCTGTTCTCCTTCTGCTCCTTTTGTTCCTTCTGCCCGTAGCTTTTCTGTATTGCCAGCCTCACCTCGCCTCGTCTCGCCGCTCCGCTCCGCTCCGCGCCGCACACGCGGACCCGCCGCAGAAGCGGCCACGCACGCACGTGCGTGTCTCGCGACTTTGTTCGTTGGCGTCGATGAAAATGGTACAATGAAAATCGTGTTTGCGCACCCGCCTTCGGTTTCGTCCTCGCCAAGTTTCGTATTGTTCGCGCGCGGACGGTGGCTAACCTACCTTCGCCGAATAAACCAGTGCCTCTCAAACCGCCATACTTGCTTCCTACATCGATAATATCGATATCTAAACTATCGATACGTACGACGTAGCGAATCTACCCCTTTCCGCTCGACGAGAGCAAACAATGGCCGACAACAATCGTAAGTTTCGAGTTCAACTATCGCGATAATCCATAACGCAATATACATTCTCTGGGCAAAATTGTTACGGGACAATGTATTTGTATTAGGTTGTCCCAAAAGTTTCTTTCGTTTTATTAATAAGTAATACATACTGGACTAATAGATGTCGTGCGAGTCACTATTCTGACTGCAAGCGTGGTTGTTCAGAGCAAGATCTCAACCATGTTATCTGGCAATGTTCATTATTCGACAAAGATCGTAATGATATGATTTACAAATTATGTAAAGTCGGATATCATCCTCCATATACGGTGGATGCTTTTCTGTACAAGCCTCTCGTTCAACCGCTGCTAATTATTTACAAATTTCTGAAAAACGATTGTGTATATCCTTAATGATAAGCCAATTATTCTTGATTCGTGTTTTGTACTCTTTTTCGATGTTGTTTTGTCGTATGCAACGTGAAGAACGAAAGTAAACTAAGAATGTGCGTTCTCATGGGATCGTGTATACAAGGAAGTACAAACTAATTATTAACTCAATAGGCATAGCTTTTGTAAACATTAAATGTAACGACCTTCCGTGGCGAAGGAGCTTAACGAAATTGTTTGTTTCACGGAATACCTTTGAATGGTAAACTATTTAATACCTATAGGATTATGAAAAATCTTATAATTGTAAATTATAACTGTTAGAGATAATTAAAGTGCATATGAGGAGAGAATCGTACAAAATGAATCTCGGTTTAAATAAAAAATATCATCAAGTAGCGTACTCATGTGGAAGTTTCTGTAAACTTGTTATACAATACATATAATAGAAGCACTTGCACGAATCATTTTCGGCAGTGTTTCTCAACTTTTTACGACTTGTGAAGTTTGTTCTGATTTTCATTCATCTTTCTAGCTTTCGTCGCAATATCGTATAACGGTAAAATATTAAGAAATATGCGATGATGCGCAATAAAACCTACAACAAGTTTATAAGATACGCTAATTAAAAAAATATCATGTCGCAATATTGTCACTTCTCAGTAGAATTCTTGCAGTTGATGGCAACTGGTAAGCTATTTTGCATACGTGGTTATAGCGTTGTTAGAGATAAACGGAAAGCCACTTCTCGTCAAAGTGTCGAGACTAGTGCAAACTTATCAGTGATCATATTTCATTTTGTTTATAGCTCTACAACGAGAAGGTAATGGAAAATTTATTTTCTTCGATCTCCCACGCACTTGGTGAAATACGATAATATATACTCGATTTCCTAGTATTACCTAATATTTACTATTTGTTCATCGAATAATTTTTCCCGACTGTATCGATCAATTTTGCTCTCTTCTGCTCCTCTACTACGTTTCCTCTTGCTTCTTCGCATCTACTTTCTATTTCCACGTCAATCTACTTCTCTGCCGTGCTTTTATTACAATGTAATATACATTTTATCGTAGAATATTACACATTCGAGATGGAATACGATGCGAAGAAGACACGATGGTTCATTTCACTTCTGTAAACAGTATTATCAAGATTTTTTTGTTACAATTCACTCGAGTAACGTAATGTTCCAATTACGAATGTCTAAGTTATACATAAGGTAAACTAACTGTTTTAGAAATGTTCAGCTAGAAAAGTATCAGTGTTTGACCTTGAATGAACTTGAATGACCTCCAGTCATGGGTCGTCGAACTCGTTCTTCCTCGAATAGAACATTTTCCAAGATGTACAACTTCTGCGACAGTGTCACGACCTAACGCTTCTTAACATAATTACAATCGTAACGAAATTAATCTGTGTCTGAAAGAAGAGTTGCGTCGTCCACCCCCGAGAATCATCGAAGAATTTAATGGTTTCCGGCCTGTAAAATCCTGTTACGGGGCAACTTTCTCAACGAACGGCCTTGTCTTTCTTCCCCACACTCTGACAATTTTCTTCTCGTTTCGTCAGGCACGCGCGATAACGTCTCTCGTCGTCGATCCGATCGGCGGAAAAGCGATCGCGAATAAATCGAAGACACTCGCCTTTTTTGCCAAGTGACGCAACGAGGATGTTCCACGGGCACGCATGATAAAATTCAAAGCCCGTATGTAAAGTTAATCCTTGGAGTATCCCCGAGGGACCCTCGGATTCCAACAGTATTTTTCCATTGCACAATCGTTAGCAGAACCCATCGACACTGATTCTAGAATACTCGCCAACCGTAACTCCGATGATACCTTGAGAATGGCCACACCTGTGTCAAACGTTTTCAAGGGTTTCCTAACAGTGGAACACAAGGAAATAAATATTTCGTATTCGTTCCGATAGCATTAAGGAGTTTTTTTTTAGATCGTAGAATCTAATCATCATCATCGGGGAATATAATCATAATCGTGGAATATAAATAAACAAATATTTCTAGATATCTAACATCGGGATCGAGGAATCGAGAATCCAGCAAAGACGCAAAACGAAACGTTGTTGCAAAATTGGTTTATTATTCGATACATCGATATTTGGTCGTCTGGAATAGAAATTTGTCTGAAATTTAACCAAGTAGGCCATGGCTTTGTAGGACGATCGGTGGATTATGACATCAATACTTTTTACGTAACACTGGTGAACGACAAATGCCTAAGTTGGGTTTATATTCAGGATGCACCACCGAATCGATCCGTCGAACAGATTATTCACGTCCAGTCATTTACACGTTCGATGTATCCTGTATAAAGAATAGAGAGTGTTCGACCCAAAAGTTTCCATTCGTGGAACACACGACATCGCGAAACTTCAATTCAAATTTTCAAGTTAGATTTTATCTTGTATCTAGTCAAGAGTCGAGTAATTTTCTATTTAACATAATTTCTCCACATCGGAAAAGGCTACGCAACGAATGTTTTAAAATCTTGTCGTTTCTTCCTTAATAAATTCACCGCATGTCGAGCTATCGTTTAACATTCTTCGCGATTCATAAATAATTGATACGAATAACTCGAATTCTTTGTATACCTTCTTTTTATGTGGTAATAGAAGAAAGAAGAAAATACCTATCACCGTACTTCTACCGTACGTTAATAAGATTCAATGTCAGCGAAAACAAACAAGCAACGTGTGTACTCGCGGATAGGTGACGAGTGACTAACCGTAAATTCTTGACAAGAGACATTTCTAAATATGTTAATGGCTAGATAACTCCAAAGGACACGCATTAATGCGTATGCGTTTTAGAACTCTGCAAAGAATTTTACAATTTTTATTCAAACTGATTCATATTCTGGAAAAAGATTAAATCGATACAATTTCTTCTCTCGCTGTTATAATCGATCCTTCATCATGTCGATCAACTTTTTGTACACTAATCTAGGAGTATCAGAACCCCACACATAATCTATATGATTGAATTTCTTATATGGTATTTTATACATATGTGGCTTTTCTGGTAACTCGTTGGCTAGCCTCATAACGTCCTGAAAGTGAAATTCACGTTAGTAGCGGGATGTAATCATCGAGAACTATACGAAACGCTTACAATAGTATTGGACAGCCAATCGTTTTGGGCGTAAATGAAGGTGTTCGGTATCGCGATCGTCGATAAGTTATATCTAGGAGGTTCAACGCTATTGTAAATTTCGATATTTCTCTGTTCGCCATAGTCGTATTGCCTAAAGTATCCCGATATAATTTCTTGACTGTAATGAGTGAAGGCCTTGATCGACGTCCCAGCAGGCACATGGTTGAAAATCAAAGGCAGCAACGTCTGCGACAGGTGACGAGAAAACTAATTGTAGTAGTACACGCGATAAAGATACGTAACTTTTGTACTCACGGAATTAAATAATGGCGCTTCGAAACCAACAGCGAGAAGCATCATCTTCGTGCAAATATTATTTCTGATAGCTTCGAAGTAACATAAATATTTTAGCGCGTACTTCATGAGATAATTCATCGCAGGGACTTCGCCTTTACCTATCAGCTGGACGAACTTCTGAAAGTTAATCGAGACAGGTTTACGAATAATGTAAATGCATATCTATGTATCTCGTAAAACCAATAGTTAGTCATTTATAATTTATATCGAGACACTCCGTATAATACACTTCTGACGCGTGGTATTCGGTCGGTTCCCTGAATTATCTAGAAACGTGTTCTCTTAATTAAGCGAGCGATGCATTTTTACTCGATAAGTTATAACAGTTGTTCGGTTTACCTTGATAATGTTTCGAAACGGAGCCAAGTATCGCGCGGGGCTTTTCAAATGCTTCATGTACGCGACTGGAGCAAGACTGTACGCCGATCGCAGCAGATTTACTACTTGAGGCCGTTCGCTAGCCATTACGAAAAAGCATGTCGAACCCATGGAGTACCCCACATAGGCGTGCAAAGTATCGTTCTTCAAATCGGTAATGTGGGTGATCGTAGCTGGTAGATCGTAAACGCCTGATTCATGCCAGCTGAAGAAATAATTATAAAATATTATCCTTGATTGTACATTCGTTAACGTGAAAACAGTGACGCGTTAAAGAAGAACATTTTCAGATTCGCCCTTATTTTATCCAGATACCCAAACAAACAAATTATTGGGTTGTCCGGAAAGTTCGTGTCTATTTTTAAGAAAACTTCAAAGGCATATTTGAATATTGATGCATATTTATTGAATTATACATGTACTATTTTGTTCCACAACCTTTGCACCTTTTAAGGAGTGTACACATGTTATTTGTTTTCAACCATTTCGACGTATTCAGACCTGTACCGCTTACTAAAAATCGGCATGGACTTTCCAGACAGCCCAATAGATAGCACAAGAGAAACAGTTAGCTCGGATCTATTATTCAAGTATTTTCCTCAACATTCCTCCCATAAACCATAATCGACTATGTTATTTTTTCACTGTGCGATACAATGATGGAAAGCTGACTTTTTCGTAATACCTGAAATCCCAAAAAGTGGAGTCCTTAGGGGACAGGGAAATATGTCCCTTGGAATAAGTATTACCGCGCAAATTTCCAAGCCATACATCGTAACCCTGATCAGCTAATAGGTAAGCTATAATAGCAAAACGCATTAGTAGTACGTAGTATTTGTTAGTTTAAGGATGCAAGTGTTAAGAACGCTTTATTATTCTTTCGTACGAATACGCATAATGTAGGAGTCTAAACGAAAAATAAGCCACGGGGATTCGAATCCACGATCCTCGGATCCACAATCGACCGCTTTACCTACGCGACCAATCCTGTACCCTACGTTTCGTGTTCTCGTTTGACTCCTTGTTGTTGGGTACCGAAGGCGCGGATACTACAATAATAACATATCTACTTCTGAGAATTTATCATAGCATCCCTGTACCAAGAGCATTGCCTCTCCCAAGGACAACCCAATCCGCAGAGCTGCCGAATATGCCATGCTGCAAGTAGACCGCAGGGGCCCCAGATCTCCCTGGAATCCGATGCAGCGTCAGCAAGTAACCATCTTTCGTCGCTATGGTATGAGCTTCGGCTGGATAACCGTTCTTCCTTATCAATTGCAACTACAACATCAAACAGAGTAATTATTGGTTTGGATGAACGTAAAGCAGCCTGGCGCAGGGTTCCTCAAGTTGCGATCGGGAGTTTGAGAAACACTGTTCTTTGTGCTGTAATTTCAGAACTAGTCGAAATCAACGTGTCGTTTCTCGTGATTAGCATTCATTTCGCTTGACATTTATTCTCGATACTATGTTGTTACAGCTCGCATCGCTATGTTAACTTTAGGTGGCCGTATTTCTTCATAAGAAATGCAACTCTTACCTATCGATCTAATGTTAATTAAACGTGTACGTTGTATCTATGTAAACATTACTATGTTCTTCACGGTTTTGGTGCACAGAGTAAAACTGACAATCCTCTAACGACGACGTCTTTCGCTTATAATTAACATATTTCGCATGTAATAATAATATAATTAATATGTATACATATTTGTGAAAAATAAATATTTGCATAAAAAGCTTTATTCCACGAGACAATAATACAATAAACGGGCTACTATTCGATAATAATACTTTGTAGAATTTGGTTTTAAGATTAACTTATGCTATCGATGCGTTAGAAACGATCATTTATTATTTATCATATCGACCAACGGTTCGTAAACCAATTTGGAAACGTTCACAGCCCATAGGAAGTCTATATGATTGAAATCTGGAAATGGTACGGTGTACTTTATCGGTTTATGCGATACCTCGTTTTCTAACTTCGTCACGTCCTGGAAAAGGAATTTTCATCAGTTGTAGAAACTCTGCGGTCGTTGGAAGAGATACGGGAAACTTATAAAGACGTAACGCTCAAGATTATACATATTCCGAACATTCCTTGGTATCTCTTCCATCGATTATACTTTGCTCAATTTTGCGTTATACGTACATCGCGGTCGGATAACCAATCGTTTTGAGCCCAAAATAATACGATCGGTTTCGTGATTTTTGATAAATCGTAACTGGTCGGCTCGGTGCTATTGTAAATCTGCATATTTTTCTCAGGGCCATAATCGTATTGCCTAAAGTATCCCGATTCAACTAGTTGAGCATAATGGAACACCGTCTTGAGAGATGTGCCAGCTGGCACATGATTCGCGATCGAAGGTAGTAGCGCCTGCAATTGATGGAAACTTAAATAAAAAAAGAAAAAAATTCTCGTACTCGATTAGCAGCGTAAAAATTATGCTTACGTAATTGAATTGTTTTTGATCGAAGCCCAACAGGAGGAATATCGTATTAGCGCATATTCTTTCTTCCAACGCGAAGCGAAAGCATAAATATTTTTCTAACATCTTCATCAAGAAATTTTGCGGCGTGAATTCGCCATTCCCAAGCAGCAATAAAGCCGTCTAATATTTTAAATGAAAAATAAACAACGGTCGTTTAAACAGGTTGTTCGTATCGAATGAAGAAAATTCGTTTTTCGATTGTTGGAGTGCTTGCTTTACCTTTATGTCGAATGCAATCGGTGATAAGTATTTTACGGCACCTTTTATGTGTTTCACATATGCCACCGGGGCAAGATGGTACACCGATTTTATCAGTATCAACATTTCCGGTCGTTCGGTCGCCATTACGTAGAAACCCGTTGTACCCATCGAAAATCCAATGTACGCTTTCAAGTACCCTTTTAATTTTGCAACGTAGTTGATCATCGCTGGTAGATCATAAACCCCTAATTCATGCCAACTAAATAAACATTTACAACGCAATGTCATTTGTCGAGAAATAATCAGAACGGAAGTGCTTATTTTCACACAAAAGTGGTGTGCATATATGACAAACATGAATGCTCCGATCGTTGTCAGATATTTTCGTTACTCTAATGATTTGTTACAAGTACCTGAAGTCCCAAAATTTTAGGTCGTTATCGGACAAACTAATGTGCCCTCTCGAGTAAGTATTGCCCCGCGCATTTCCAAACCATATATCGTAACCTTGGTCAGCTAATAAGTACGCTACAATAGGAAACGAGACAATAGTAGACAATTGTTATCGATACGTAAAAATATAAAAGGAAAAATGAACCTTTGAAAGTACCACCATCGTAGCTTTTTAATTTCACGTATATCGATCTTTTTTAAGTAGATACAATCTTTGCGTTTATGTACCTAGAGACTTGTTTCTTCCGACTAAAACCCAATCCGCCGAGCTACCTAATAAACCGTGTTGCATAAAGATCGCGGGGGATCCCTGTTTCCCTGGGATCCGATGCACAGTCAGCAGGTAACCATCTTCCGTTTGCACAATATGCGCCTCTGCTTCGTAGCCATCCCTTCTTATCATTTGCAACTACAACGAATAACGTATCTTAAGAATTAAGAATTGTACGAATCGTTTCAGCCAAATTCTAGAACGTTTTTCTTTAGACGTTATACGTTAGCGAAATATTTTTTATACAGGCCGAGATACTTAAAACAAGCCACCTGAATAACTCGTTTGCGTTTGATGGGAGGTAAACATGCCTCGGACAAGTCTTGCTTGATCTCAAGGTAGACATAATCTGATACGAGTAGTTTTTCATCGAGTGAAGGTGGTAAGGAGATACGAAGGTCAACTCTATTTTTTTTTCTCCTTCTTTTTTTAGATGGAACGATACACTTTTTCTATTTATCTTCTAATAGAGCGTTCTAATATGTCGTATAATATAATATACGTATTACGTGGTATGTCCATCGATCACAGTGACCTATGGTCGAAGAACATTCAAGGTCGTTATACAGGGTGTTCCAAAAATGTTGTAACACCTTGAAAGAGGTGGTTCGATAGGTGATTTGAAACAACTTTTTCCTTAGCGAAATTGTTGTCCGAGGCTTCGTTGAGGAGATATTAACGGAAAACACTGACCAATCAGAGCCCGAGGATGCCGGTTGAGCGTAGGCTACGCGCTAGCCGGCTTCGCTCATATGCTACCGCGGCCGCTCCAACGATATACGCGCGCTCTGATTGGTCAGCGTTTTCCGTTACTATCTCCTCAACGAAGCCCGGACAACAATTTCGCTAAGGAAAAAGTTGTTTCAAATCACCTACCGAACTACCCCCTTCAAGGATCTCCAACATTTTTGGGACACCCTGTAGATCGATTATGATTGAAAATATCTGCCTTTGGATAGATAATATAATAGAATTCTTCGATGTAAACAAAGATACAATTACGTTCCGCGTAAAGTGGAGCACCGTAAATTTATCGAAACTTTCACAATCCCGAATTTCTTTCTAACGAGCATAATTTTTTCTAATTTAATGCATTACCAGATATTATCAGGCTAAGCTCCTAGAAATCTAAATTCAGATCAATTTGCCTATTTGCATCCTGAGTTGCACGTTCTTATGTTTCGGAATTACAGCGCGTTACGAAAAAGTAATCAGTAAGAACAGAATTTATTTGCTCAATTTGCTTAATTATTTATAAAAATATCAACGAATACCATGAAACTCACCGTGTCGAGGTTGTCGTTTGGATCGTTTCGATTGGAACTACCGAATAGGTTTTTAAAGAAACCTTCCGCATTTGCGAAAGGAAATGTGATGCACAACAGCACAAATACGACGACGAAATTCTTCATTCTGAAACTTGTGCACAAACAACGAAACTCAGACACTCGACGTTACGAAATGTCACGAAAAATGTCTTATAGTATTGTTTGTCCCGAATTTTCGTTAAGTATCGCTGAAATATACTGACATTTGAACTTCTCCCGAGCACAAATTAACTATATTAATTGTCTGTCGCTTACGTTAGCACTGACTTTATAATCGCATTTCATACCCATATTAGTCATGATTCATGATTCATGACTTTGTTTGGCCTGCGTTATCTTTTCAGCATTCTAAAGCTTATTCATTCGATTTGTTTGAAATATGCAAAAATATTATCGCTCGACATTGACCCAGAGGAACTCTCCTTCCATGAACAGATATAAAGGCTTGTAATTTAAGTATAATACGTATATTGGACTAGGGTATAGTAAAATTAAGAATTTTTCGAAACGAATCGTCCATAAACAAATTTGACTGTTTTACGACTACGAGCGAAGAGAGCTTAAAATTTAGTGTCTTATGTTATAAACATTTTCCCTCCAAAAAGGTAGGAAATGAGGTTAGACTCAACTTCCGCTGGAGGGAGACAGCTGACAGACCCGAGAATGGAAATTGATAGAACTTCGATATTTGCGGGAAAATTAAAAGCACTTTCAACTTCCCATATCGTCACACGTGGAACAAGATATGCTGTGCAAACTACTTGGATTCATTACCTTAATTATTCCAGGATGCTTTCAGCCTCGATTTTCTGTAATTATTGAGGTTCTACTGTAGAGTCTGTATACTTGTCCCATAACGAATGCAATAAGGCAAAAGTTAGATCATATTTTGTTACGAATTTGACGATAAGCGTAAAACTCTTTACGATGTTTGATCAGACAAATTAAGACATCGATTACAAATAAATATGCATGTCAAACCTGATTCTTGAGAATTCCAAATAGCTACTTTTCTAACTACGCAGTCACTTTCACACTTTGGGGTTATATTACGAAGAGTTCGAGATATACTTTTTACGAATACTTTTTGTTGAATTTCTCTGTGAACTGAAATTAAACTAATCATAACAAAGAAAGTAACGAAATTACTACTGTATAGCGGATATTTCAGTTTAAATATGCGTGTCGAGCGTTTATTTAGCTTGACAGTTTAATTGGGGATTGTTTGTTCCACAAGTAGTACTATATAGTACCGATACTCTCTTTTGTGTCATTTCTACCACAGACACCAAACCGACACTGACCGACACCGATAACTTTATGAGAGAAATTTACGCTATTTTATGCTGTACGTATGTTTGTTTTATCAAGTTTTACAAAAATTTACACAGGGTTGTCCATCTGTAATCTGCGTTTCTACATACCATAAATCGTATTTATTTTCACCCGAGTATATTCAAGAATGGTCCTTAAGCGGTTAAATGCCGGTTAACCTCAAAACAATACAAACATATGATTGTTCATGTTTTACTTTTAAAGTGGTTTCTGTATATATTTCAGCATACGAAAATGAATGAAACTACATTACCTCCCTCTCCAAATTGGTACTTAAGTAATATTCTTGCTTGTTCTTTTAATGGAACTGTTGCATGGGGTGGTAGAAATGCAATTATTGTTGCTAAGTACAACGAAGGTGAAAGAACATTACAGTATTCCATTATTAAACATGCTCACAAAGACAGAGTATCATATCTTGCTTTTACTCCTCCATTTGAACAAGTAACCGACAACTTAGTGGCTTCCATTGGCGATGATAATACAGTTAAAATATGGAATGTAGAAACATTGTCTATGGCATTCAGTCATTCCCTTGCAACTGTAAGTATATATATAATATATAAATAATATATATATATATAAATATGCTTTAGTTATGTAGCATGGCAATTCAAACTTTCTTTTTCTTTTAGGACAAACAAGCGATAGGTGTAGATTGGTCCTATCAAGATCCCTTTGTTGTATATTTTGCAAGCTCTGATGGTTATGTGTTTTCTTGGAATGTTTTCTTTGATACTATCTCTTCTATATTATTAGGAAAGATGACACCTACTTGTCTTGCCTCTTGTCCTCATGATCGACACCTTGTTGCTGTGGGTTCTAAGAATGGTTTAATCTATATTGTCAATTTTCAAAGGAAATGGCAAACAGTTTATAAACTGAGAGGACATGATACAGAGATAGTTAGTTTATCGTGGTGCCCTTCAAAAGAGAATGTTATAAATAAAAGTCAGAATATAGATTTACTTTTAGCATCAGGAGGAAAAGATAGGTAATGCAAAAAGATCTTGAAAATTCCTTGAATACTTTCTGAAATACATTCTAGCCATTCCTGAGTATAATTATAATTTTTAACAACTTTAACATATAGATCAATTTTTATTTGGAGAGCTGGTGGAGACAGACGATATGAAATGACAATTCCATTACCTGTAGGACCTCTTGATTCTCATCAACATAGAAGCAAATTAAACTCATCAGTAGGTAATTGGACTGCAGTTCGTTGGGTAGAGCCTAACCTGTTACTTACAAGTTCCTCTTGGGGTGAATTACTTTCTTGGAATTTATCAACAATAATGAAGAATAAACCTGCTTGCCAGTTAATACATGCATATCATACTAGGGGTTTATTTTGTATTGCACACGTACCGACTATACAAGACAATTTGAGAGAAGATTGGAGAGTCAAACACAGGTTTCTAATAAAAAATTAATTACAAAATGCACTGTATAAAGTTGTCATAATTTAGCGTGTTTCTAATCAATTAAAGGCTTAAAATTTGGACTTTGGCACAAGATCGTAGAGTTATTTGCTGTAGTATTAAAGAAAATAACGTTGAAACGGAACATGATATTTTCACGCAAAGTGCGTATGTTTATTGCATTGCTGCCTGTCCATTTGACACTTCTCGAATTGCTTTTGGAGTTGGGGATGGAATGTTACGTATATGGAATTTGTCAGAAACGCATAGCACTTCATTTGATATAACTTATTTATGGCAAAAGATTAAGGGAAAGATTCGCACGGTAAGAATATATTCTTAATACTTATACTTAAAATCGTATAATACGATACAATTACATTGTACATAGATATCATGGCATCCTGAAAAGGAAAATTTGCTAGCATATGCAACTGACGAAGGTCGAATTGGTGTCTTTGATACAAATGGCAACAAGCCCATTTTGTACAGACAATATCACAGAAATACGGTATATACTATTAGTTGGGGTCCTCATCCAGAGAGTAAGCAGCATGTTTTGTATTCCTGTGCGGAAGGAGAACTTGTATTCTATGATCAGGGAAAGCCAAATCAAGAACCAACGTCCGTATTGAAAATGGAATGTACAGAATTTTCTTGGAAGCCAGATTTTTCTTGCTTAGCAGTAGGATTTGAAAATGGATCAATTTATTTTCTTAATCGCAAATTCGAGCTGTGCGGATATGTTAAACTTTCTTCAGTAATGGTACACTGCTTGGTGTGGCATCCTGAGAGCACGGCAACAGATTCGATGTATTCTCCATTGAAAAATTATGTAGCTGTTGCCTTTAAATCGACTACAATAATTATAATAGATCTATCCAATTTCGTGGATCATTTAACAAAATTAGAAAATGCCACGGAAAATGATAATGAGAAAAAGTGTGATTCTTATAAGGTGCATGAAATTGTAGCTAGCCTAACCGGACATATTCAGAATGTTGTTTGTTTAGCTTGGAGTCCATATATTAGCGGACAATTGATATCGGGAAGTTATGACCATACCGCACAGGTACGATCATTTTTAAGATATAAAAATACTATTCAAATACGGACACTGGAAATGCTTAATACAAGAATTATTGGTTTTTTAGGTATGGAATGTTGAAACACAAGAGTTGATAGCTACTTATACAGGACATTGTGGTCCAGTACTATGTTGTATATGGAGTCCACTTGATCCTGATTACATTATAACTGGCTCTGGAGATTTCACAGTACGAATATGGAAAATCGCTTGTAACAGTGCCACTTTGCCCAAAGAAAAAGTTCATAAAAAATCTACAAAACAAGATAAAAAGAAGCAAAACAAAATAAATATGACCGTGGACGTTTCGGCTCGAAATAGCGTAGCAGAATTAGTTGATACTATGTTAGAGTGTTCGATTTCAAATGTTCCTCAAACTGCACAAAGTACAAAAATGATTTTTACAAATGCATTATTAAAATATTATTACCGTAATATGAACAATGAACTTTTGTTAATTTTGAATTTCAGACTCGAAGACAGTGTCGGCAGTAGAAATAAAAAAGAAGAAAGGTAATCGAATGCCATATTTTGCAAAAAGTACTAAAACAATGAATGATAAAACAGTTTTGCTTAATTCTCTCATAAACATTGTAAAGAACTCGCAAAATGAAAATGTAAGCGATGAACAAAGTCCGGACACTTTCTATTATATGACACCATTATTTTCGGAAAAAGAAGATTTTATGACATTTTTGGCCAATGAAAGTAAGTTGCTTATTAAGTAAAATAATATATTTAATGACGCCATATATCTTTTAAAATTTCTTATCGATAAATAGAATTTGGCCATATCGAGGAAAACAGACATAATGTAGCAACAGAGATGGACGTATGGTGTGACAATCTCAAACAAAATTTAGAGAAAGCTGCCAAAGAAAAACGTCTCAATGACTTTATTATTTCACTTTCAGTTAGTCTTTCGATGAAGTATGCTATTATATTTATACAGCTAATAAAATTTAATTAGAATCACTGTGAAACAAATCCAATAATTACAAATTTTAGAACATGGAAAGAAATGTGTGAACTGTACGCGTATCAATTGGTAAGCGAAGGTAATCCTTATAAAGCAGTATCTTATTTACTTTGCATACATAAAACATACAAAGCTATAGAAGTATTTCAAGATGCGAATTTGTATAAAGAAGCTTACGTTCTTGCAAGATGTAAACTTGAATCAGATGATCCAACCCTGATAAATGTATTAAAAAATTGGGCAAAATACAGTGTATGCAGATGTCAATTCGAAGAAGCGGCATACATGTAAGTTGTCAAGTTACAAATTGTAGTGGATTATATCTGATTTTTTAATTTTATTTTTAGTTATGCCAAATTAGGAGAGTTTTCTGATACAGTAAAATATCTCACACGTCGTAAAGATCCAGCTTCTATAATAACTGCATCCGAAATTGCACTTTTATGTAGCGACGACATTCTCAGTAAAACTTTAGCCGAGGAAGCAATAGCTGGAGCTATGAAAAATTCAGAGTATGATTTAGTTCGAAGTATAATAGCGAAGTTTCCGTATCTCAGGGTATGTTTACATAACATATTTTTCTTTTTAAGTTTGATATACTTTATATGAGTTGAAATAATTAATTCTAGTATCGTGAAGTTCATTTATTAGCCCTTGAAGAACTCGAACACATAATTGAGAAAGATATAAAGCTTGACACGATTCAAATGTGGTTGGACGGAAAATTAAATTATGGATTACTTCAAAAATTAAAAGAACTTTTTGAAGATACTAGTTCTTACTACACTGATTTACGTCAAAGTAATTTTTGTAATACCCTAGAAAACGAGCATATGGTAAGACTAATACTCTCAAATAAATATGCTTGGAATGGATAATGATTATATCCAACAATTTTAATTTCAGTTATGGTTGACAGTTAGCTATGAAATTGCGTTGGCAATAGTTTCTGCTGAGAAACAACAACAGTTAAAACATATTGTTACAGCATTAGGCGCCGTTGCTCAGTTCGAAGTATTGCATCGAAAAAATATTGAAAATCGTAGTAATTTCTTGATTGAAATTATTATAAATTTAGATGCTGCAAGTCCATTGGACGAAGAAAGCATTTATTCAAAAACCGATTATCCTGTATCAACTGGTTTACGAGGTTATTTATGTTATGCGTTTTTGAATTGGCTCATAGATAATGTAGATATAGAAACCACGAATATCCACACCCAGATTTACATCACTTTAATAGAAAATTTGATCGAAGATGCTTTAAACAAACGAGGAGTAAAGCAGTGGTCAATTACGAACGACATTGCCAAATTGGAAAGTCAAATAGCTTCTATTCTATGTAAATAATATAAGTAGTACATACTTAATTTGAAGAAGCTTATATTTTTGTAATTTTGAAAAAGACTAATATTAATTTTATTGTTAGGTAAAACGCAAGAAGAAGATAAAAATGAGGAACATGCAGAATCTCTTGTACACGAATTAAGCATGTTAAAAACTGAAAAGAAACAGCTTGTCGATGAATTAGTTTGTGTTCCTAACCCTGCCATGGTTTACAGCAAGGCAAATGAATTAGCTGACAAGATCTCGGATGAAACTACTAAAACTAAGTTTCTAGGAACTGTTTCTAAAGCATGGACAAATGCTACCTCATGAATAGAGTCATGAATTGATTTAATTTTGTGTATGCTAATGATGAATGCTCGAATATTGTATTACTTTATTTTTTTTTTATCACTTAGCAAAAAAAGGTTAAGTATACTAGTTCCTAATTACGTTTATACGATTTTTAATTAAGGTATTTATACATTAAATAAATATAAATATATTTACATATTATCAATAACAATAAAGTAGAAAAATACGATTTTTATTTGTAAAGAAATAATAATACCATTTATTCCAAAGCATTAGTTATTTTTAATTCAAAGTTACCTTCCAAAAACGAATTTCTCTGTCACTTGTAGCACAAATATATGGTAATTTATAGTGCCATGATATTCCACCTATTAATTTGACTTGACCACAAATTACCTCTTGTTCAGATCTTATATTTGTAACTTTTAATAAATTATCTGGTCTGCCAATGCTTGCTACAAAATATTCATAAGCTGGAGAAAATTTTACCGTTAATCCACCTTCCATATGAAGGGGTCTTAATTCTAGAGGTGGGCTAGAAGTAAAAATATTTTCATTAAACTTGCAATCTTTATCAATCCCCTTTACAGTTCAGTTTCTAATTTAGTTTCATTTGGACTACCTAGGTTTAGATATATCCCAAAGGATTAATTTTCCAGCAGCTATACCAGCCACTTTTAATGGATTTGGTCCCCAATCAATTGACATTAAGGGAACAACATCTGCATCTAAGGACATTATTGCTTGTTGACTTCGTACATCATACATGTGAATCAGTCCATTCTTTTCTCCTATGAGAAGCTTTCCAGACTTTTCAGGGTGAAAACGTATACTCATTCCAGGAGATGTTAAATAAAATGTGGAAATGCATTCGTCATCCTCTTTTACAGCCCAAAGCTTACATGTATGATCATCAGACACTGAAGCCAATATCTCGCCTTCGGTTTCATAACAAATTGAGTTTATATAATCTTTATGCCCTTTCATCTTATATTAAACAAGAAAATGAATTGACAATTAATATAAAATAGATAATAATCCATACGCAAATTAACTTTTTTCAATCTTACCTCATGTACAGTATCATTGGTCATGTCACTGCTATATAACCTTATTTTAAAATCTGCCCCAGCAACACAAAACATAAGAACTTTTGGTACAACACTCAGGGAGGTTTCTGGACTCCAAGCAACAGCATGAGGTCGAACACTATGACAAAATGTTCTAAAAGGACTGTAAGCAATATCTTCTACAGTCTCATCCTCATCCTGAATATATATAGGTAACAATTATTATTATATTATATTATAGGAAATTAATTTTAAATTATAATTATGAATGTTTTCTTTCTTTGTATTAGAAATATAAAAAAAAAATGTTAATCCTTTAAATAAAAACAATACACTGTGGTCAAAGCAGGAGTATATTTAATTCATTAACAAAACAAAAATTTATATAAAATTAATCTTTCTATTTATATAAAACGTAACATGAAATGAAATATGTCTTTCAATGTGCCTATTTTATTTAAATTTGTTTCAACGTTCGCTATTTAAAATAGTGTGTTAACAAATATTATTTCTATTTCAAATTTGACCAAACTTCAAGTGAAGTTATCTTTTATCTTTGGAATTCGAGCGTATATGTATATATACGTGATAAAAAGTTCGAAAGACTTTACCTGAAATTTAATCGTACCGATTACGATTTCTTCGGCGAGAGCGATACAAATTAATTGCTGAGACCATTCGTACGGAGATAATTCAACACAATATATTTGTTTGGAAAAATGCAATTGAAATGTAGGCGGTGTAGTTAAGGCCTCGTCCATTGCTTATTCGTATTATCGCGATTATCGGTTGCAAACGAGGATCGTGAAAGATCGCCGGCATAACCTTCAAAGTTTCATCGACGAACGTTAACTCGTGAGCCTCATCGGAAGGAGTTTCAAAAAATCGTGCATGAACGGTAAACGACAGTTAAAGATTTCCTCTGTAATTTAACAATCTCTGCGTAGCACAATTATATCGCGAATAACGTTACGTTACAATCGCAATTGTGATTCGTATAAACATAAAAAACATGCACGCGCTGTAAGGTGAGGTTAGGTTGATTCAAATTGTCTAGAGCAGCGTTTCTCAAACTAGGATTCACAGACCCTTAAAATTGTGCGAATGTATTAGCGGGATTCACCAAGGCTATTACGAAAAATGAGAAACAAGTTTGCTAATTTACATCTTTTAGAAAAAAGAATAAAATTCGTGAAACTTTATATCAATTATTGTGTATATTCTGCTTCTAACGTAAAGACTGAAAAGTAGTTTTTTTTATTGAATACAGTTTCACGTAAGTCTCGTTTTTAAAAATATACACGTATCCTCTATATTCTATCAAAGTTTTTAATTTGCATTAATAGCTATTTCACCGATACGGGTATGATACCGCGACTCTTTCAGTTTTGTTTTCACAGTTCCAGTCATTCGAGCTAAAAATAGGAATCGAAAGTGAAAAAAGAAATAGGTATTTTTTTAAAATTGAGAGTTCTGATTTGAACGCGGCAAAAGTGTTTCTTTATTGTGGGGGTAACGGAAAGGTGAAGGTTGAGAAACACTGATCCAGAGGGCAGTACGTATTTTACGTGTGGTCGGTGTGGTAGGTATATGTAATCGTTCAACGTGCCGCGTATCTCTCAGAGGCGAACTTCTTTGACTAAATATAAGATCGCCGCTTATGCACGCCGCGAGTTTTTGACTCTTCGAGCAACGACCAGATATGAATTGACAGGCTGTATTGGCAGTAATTTTGCCGGACGTGTATCTTTGATCAGTCTTGATCCACGATCGCGTTACGAGGTGGGTACCTTCTGTCAAGGCATGTTCACCAGGACATGCTGTGCACATCTCACAAGCTGCTTCGCCTCGTGTTTTTCTTGCAATATAGCTAATCGACTTTGCGTCATCTAATTTCTCCGTTGATTTTTATTAATTTACCAATGTTTTTGTAAGACGTGCAAAGATTTCATATTTTTCGTAAATCTGATTTTGAATTTTCGTAAGAGCATTTTTTTGCAACATTTCAAAATTATATTTATCTTATTTTTTTGAAATTTTTATCGTTTCACGAGGTTTTCCGTATATAATCCGTAAGTATTATGCGATCAAAAATGTTAAATGAAACTTTGTTTAGATGTACTTTATTTATAAATGTGCTGCTTCAAATGATAGAAAAGAGCGTTAATGGGTTTTTATCATTTGGAGTAGAAATTGGTAAACCACTTTGTGTTTTTTATAGGTATGTTTTAGACAAAATATTATAATAGCAATTGCATGGTTTTCACATGTAATTTTATTACACTTAATTATTCTATGTTATTTTTATTACAGTGGAGTAGGTAGGAATGGAGTTCGGAGTGGGCGATGTTGCCCAAATATCAGCAGAACTTGCCCAAGTGGTTGAGGTGATGATGTCCCCAAATGTACCACAACAGCAACGTTTGGAAGTATATAATGCCTGCGAACGATTTAAAGAATCCTCCCCTCTGTGTGCACAATGTGGATTATATCTAGCGCAAAAGTCACCAAACAGAAGTTCTGTGGTTCGTCATTTTGGACTACAGCTAATGGAGCATTGTATTAAGTATAGATGGACACAAATATCACAGTCAGAAAAAATATTTATCAAAGAAAATGCGATGAAGCTACTTCAAGAAGGTACAGAACCATTACTGCAAGAAGAAGCTCATATTAAAGATGCTCTTTCTCGCGTTGTGGTGGAAATGATAAAACGAGAATGGCCACAACAGTGGCCTACATTACTCGCCGAACTTAGTCAGACATGTACTAGAGGTGAAAGTCAAACCGAATTGGTTCTTCTAGTATTTCTAAGGCTTGTAGAAGATGTTGCACTGTTACAAACATTAGAATCCAATCAGAGAAGAAAGGATATATACCAAGCGCTTAACACAAATATGGCTGAAATTTTTAGCTTTTTTCTAAGATTAATGGAACAACATTTTTCGGAGTTTCAAAAAAAGAATAATTTAGGGTGTACTTCTGAAGCAGCAGCGCATAGTAAAGTTGTACAGGTATATTTAATGTAAAAGTTTTAAGGAATGAAAATTATGATTTAAATTTTTTAATTTATGTTGAGTCATTCTTATTCGATAGGTAGTATTATCTACATTAACTGGATTTGTGGAGTGGATTTCGATTCATCATGTTATGGCAGAAGATGGTAGATTATTGCAGATATTATGTCTTCTGTTGGGAGATCCAATATTTCAATGTTCAGCAGCCGAATGTTTGTTACAAATTGTAAATCGCAAAGGGAAAGCTGATAGGAAACAGTTGTTGATTTTATTTTCCGAAGATGCTTTAAGATACATTTATGCCGCAGCAACGGCAGTACCACCTGGTACCGGATCAAACGAGTTTCACGAAAACCATTACTTGTTTTTAAAGAAACTTACACAGGTGATTTTTATTTATTTAATTAATATTCATTTTATTGATATGTAGCTAATATTAATTGTACATACAGGTGTTAACTGGAATGGCGACTCAACTATGTGCAATTTGGGGCAAAGATGATGGTTCTAGTATTCGACCAACTCATTTCAACATATTTCTAGATACTGTGTTGACTTTCACTATGTCTTCAAGCTTAACATTAATACATATGGCAAACGCAATTTGGATAATACTGTTTAAACATGAACAAATAAAGCAGGATCCATTATTGTTAACTTACATACCAAAATATGTAGAAAGCACAGCACCAAAGTTAATAAAAATAGCATATCCACATGGTAGACAAAGTAATGGAATGAGTACCTATTGTCTCGCAGATTACGATTCCGAAGAAGAATTCAATGTATTTCTTCATCGATTCAGAACTGATTTATTGGAAGGATTCCGACAAGCAACAATGGTAGCACCATTGGTAACGTTTACTTACGTACAACAATGGTTGACGGCTAAAATAACGAAAGGTATGGCAGATCTTCGATATAAAAGCGATCAGAACGATCCACAATATCTTGAATGGGAAGCTCTGGCTCAAGCTTTAGATTCCGTTGTATCAAGAATTTTATTGATTAGCGAACGACCAAGCGTACAAACTGGCCTACAACTATTGGAATTATGCCTTGGTTATTCTCCGCTAGATCCTTGGCTATTATCCGCATTACTTTCTTGCATTAGCGCTCTCTTCGTATTCTTGTCTATGTCAACTGGTTCAATGGCTATGCCAGGAGTAGCAATCTTACCGAGAGTTTTGGAAAAAATCTTTGCCGCTCTGGTATTTGAAGCACCCGGTGAAACGAAGGGTACTCGATCTAGAGCAGCAAAGAACGTAAGACGTCATGCAGCCAGTCTCATGGTAAAGATTAGTTTGAAATATCCATTGTTACTTCTCCCAGTTTTTGATCAAATCCATACAATGGTTCGCGGTTTAGCGAGAGAACCGAGCTCATTATCTAAGATGGAGACCATCATGCTTTATGAAGCACTTCTATTGATATCGAATCATTTCTGCGATTACGAAAGACAAACCCGATTTGTTGCCGAAGTAATCAGCGAAGGATCTGTAAAATTTATTGCTCTTGGACACGAAGCGTTTAAAGGTCCACTCGAATTAATGAGGTTTATCGGATTGAATGGATCACCAGTTGAAAGTATAACCGAAGATTCAGCAGGTCAAAATCGAAGCGACTTAATGATTTGTGTTTGTACAATATTGAGTGTTGTGAAGCGGTGTTCTATTCCGGATGATCCAGACCGCGCTGCAAGAGGCAGTTTCGTAGCTGCGCTTAGTGAAAGCGGAAATCCGGTATATAGAAATCCTGCTACACCACATGTGATTCCAGTACTACCGACACTCTTTGCATTGCTCAGGGCGATGAATGCACTCTTCACTCCTGCAGCATTAGCAGCTTTATCAGAGGTAATAATATAAATAATTTTATTTAAGATGGAATTGTTTCGGGGGCCAGGTTGGAGGTGTAAATATAGTTCCAAGTGAAACTATGATCGAAAAGTTTATGCTTTTAATTAGCGATCGACATTCGAATCTACATTTTGAGAGAGACTGAAACTTCGGCGACTGATACAAACAAATATAATGCTTTTTCTTTCTGTTTATTAGGGATACAAAAATGCTCACGAACTATTGGAGTCGGAAAAGGCGAACCTTTTAGGTTTAAATATAACAAATGATAATGCTTCCGAACCCGATCAATCTTCCAATACAGCTTTAGTTCGTATGCAATCGTTTCTCAGTACTATCCACGATCAGTGCTATCACATGTTGGGCAGTGGATGTCATATGATTGGAAGAGACTTTTATCAGTTACCTGGTTTGGCGCCAGCACTTATTAATTCAGTTTTCTCTAATATGGAGGTAATTATTTACTTCCTTCCTAAAAATAGAAAAGATTTTAAATGCCGTTTACACCTTAGCAAAGATTTCATTTTTTCCTTTCAGTTGATTCCAGATTATAGATTACGGCCCATCATACGTGTCTTCATGAAACCATTTATATACTCTTGTCCACCTGCATTTTATGAAAGCGTACTTGTACCTGTACTGGCTCATGTTTCTACACATAGTAAGATATGTTTACCTTTCATTTTTGCGTTTCCGTTTATTTTTCTCTTTCTGTTTATTCACAGTATAATTATATTTTTACAGTGTGTCAAAGATTAAGTGCTAAGTGGCAATATATTGCGCATCTCTATGAATCTGGTGGTTTGGATGAGGAAAATACTGATACGCAGGAAGTTATCGCTGATATGTTAAATCGGAATTTGACGAGAGATTTCGTAGATCTGTTGAAAGTAGCTCTTGTCGGAGGTGCTGCTAGCGACGCAACGCCTCCCGATACCATGGAACAAGACGTGGACGGTATGGCTATAGATCTTCCGACGTCACGTGGAAGTAGCATAGTTGCCGAAGTCGTCAGCGAATTGGGAACATTCGTCCTTAGACATCCATCTACGTGCCATAGTGTTGTTCTATGTGTTCTGGGGTAAATTTGACTTTTAATTAAATACTTATTTGTGTACATATGCCAACAGAACAAGCGTCAAATAAATAATT